ATCTATGGGTCAGAGCACTGCAACCCGACATGGAACACGCGGCAGGGACCTGGCTCAGAAACAAAGACGACCCCAACCAAATCTTTYAGATCTTGGGCCCGGATATGGCTTCGGGCCTAAGAGCCCAGAGCTGGAAACGACCTATGCTGGGACGCAGCCCTGACCATCTGATCTTGGGGGACGCCGATTGCCAGATATTTAGTACAAGAGACATAGTGGAAGTTCGAGTTCACAGTCAAGCAACCATACAAGGCAAAAATAGCAGCCTCTCCCGTTGCTGCCTCGCTGGCCGCTGCTCGCTGCTCGCCGGGGGGGGGGGGGGGGGGGNGGCCGCTGCTCGCTGCTCGCCGGGGGGGGGGGGGGGGGGGGAGGGTAAATAGCTAGCACCTCTTCAACACGAGGTTGCCGTGCTATAAGGCCATACATAAATTGTGGTTAGTGTGTTATGAGAGTGGTACACGCACGTGCATGGCTGGCAGTTGCCTGGGTTCAAAGCCCAGCGGCAGCATGCATCCTGGATCTTGATAATATAATATGGGAGCGGGGTGCTGTGGGCATTTGCCGCGCGTGAGTGCGGCGGCCTTGGCCTTGACCATGCTCGTGGTGGCGCCTGTTTTCTTCGCCACGTGTCACCTCCTGCAGGCGCCACGTTTTTTCCTCTGTTTTCCCCGAAAAAAACACACCCGAAAACAGTGAAAAAGCCCGATGTCGGGTTTTCTCCTCAGTTGTACAGCTGTACGGGGTGGTGGGTGGGAGCGGGGAACGTTCCCGCTCYGATACCAATGTAGCAGACCCACTAGGTGTGGTGCTCCGCTAATGACAGAGATGGAGATGGAGGAAGAAGGGGGGGAGAAAGATGCACAGCGCAGCTCCTCACGCAAGACTCCAACGCACAGACTCCAAAATGTGCAGCTGAAGAATGAGGACGAAACAGACAACGGCTGGGGTATACCCCGGCGGACTGACTGGACTGGACTGGACTGGCTGGTACCGACAGAGGTACCGGCCTGGACTGGACTGGACTGGACTGCCCCCGAATAGAACACAGGCCTGTGAGAACAGGGCAGGGGGCTGGTCTCACAGGCCAACCAGAGGTCCGCTACAAGAGGTCGCTATTATCATGTTGGATACGGGAAAAACCTACAATAAAGTAGGTTGGGCTTGTGTGAACAAAACTTTAGTCCACATGGGATTTGGAGAATGCTTCCGAAAATGGGTTAAAGCGATGAATTCCAAGGCGACGGCCACAGTCATAGTAAATGGTCTTCAATCAGAAGAATTCATGTTGTCCCACTCCCTGAGGCAAGGGTGCCCGTTAGCCCCCCCTTATCTTTGTCATTCAGCTAGAAATTCTGTTAGCAAACATTAGGTCAAACGTCCATATTACAGGCCTCCGTGTGACCCCCACTTTTCATTGAAAGGGGGGGAGCATACCGGATGCCCTATCACTCGCTTGTGAAAATTCCGTAGTAAGTTTCACGGAGCTTCGAAAGGTTTTAGATGATTATTGCTCATTGTCAGAAGCCTCAATACACTAAGACAAGTCGGTGTTTTTTCTGCCCCCCCCCCTTCGAGATATGTGTGGATTGGGGGCTTCGTCAGATCCCGGCGAACTCCTCTGACATTTTATTGGGTTTGCAAGTTTCCTTTTCAGACTGTGCTAAAGTTCAGGATAATCTGCTGATGGACAAGGTGGAAGCATGGATTGCTGGATGGGAACGATGCATCCACCTCTCGTTATTTGGGAAAGCTTTGGTCCTCTCCATGGCTGCCTTTTCTCAACCATGGTTCTCGCTTACCATCCATGCTCTCGGAGATAAGGCTTATAATAAGATCAAGGCGGTTGGGGCCAGATATGTGTGGAAGCCTGAAGCAGCAGAGGACCAGCATTTCCTGTCTAAAGTTGCATGGAAGCAGTGGACCCCCTGCAACAAAACATAGCTCTTGGTTAAATGGCCCATCAAAGCAACGACTGAACCTGGGGGCAAAATTTGGAGGGTTTGGCGGAATACGTTCTGGGGACAGAGTGGGATCTGCAGGACCATTCCAAAGTGTGGCTGTGCCTGTTGTTACCCTCCTTCTGCAACCGTCGAGTTCAATCCAAGACTTGAAAAAATATCATAGGAGCTTGGAATAAACGCAAACCTTCGAAGAGCGTCTCTCCGGTGACAAAAGAAGAGATTTTGAATTAAGTGCTCTTCGAAAACCCGCTCATTATTCACCAGGATGGGAGTTACTCTCGCATGGTGATGCAGTCGCCCAGATGCGAAGGATCCTACCGGCAAAGATGGCCGTGTGAGGGTACTTCGCACTCTTCGCGGACCAAAAGCTGGCAGGGTGGTTGTAGCATGCCAATGATCGCCTCATGTTGACATCATCGAAATGAGACTCCTTTGTGTGGAACTTGAATACTGCCTTAAGGACTTCCTCGTGCTGCACCGATCCCTCTGCATAGCCGAACTGGACCAGGGCTTCGATCAATCCCTGCTRCACCTCCTGGTCGTCGTTCAGCGTCGGGTCTCGGAACTCGAGATCCAGCAAYATGRCTGCTATGTGGGCGGGTGTCCGGAACATGGTGCGCCGCCTGTCGAACACCTCCAAAATAGCGTCYTGCTGCYYCCGATCGAGGTCGAGGCATGCAGACAAGCAAGATGCGATCACAACCTCGTAACGACGCAAAATCTTGCTTATCTGGCGTGTGTCACTATCGACTAGCCTCAGCATATCCATGATAGACTCCAGCATCTTGCACAAAGCTCTCAAATCCTCCCACCATGGAGGAGACCCGATACACGCAGTGACCTCTGCGGCGTCCTTGCGGATCTTGTTGGTCGACCAGACAGTCTCACGCCACCGGTCGTCACCGAGAAGCTGTGTGAGCTCTCCCCGCAGATCCACAAGCCTCGTCATCATGATGACGTTAGTGCCGAATCGAGTCTCCGCCGTCAGTAGAAGGGTCTTCGTCGAGAAGACCTCCAAAACCTCCCGTGCGTGGCCATGGTGCTTGAAGAACCTCGTCACCAACCTTGCCTGCGCGATGTGAGTGACCTCCCAATCAATCCCGCCGATGTCCTCGAGAATGAGGTCCATCACATGAGCAACGCATGAAATCCAGAAGATGTGTTTGATGCTCTCGTCCTTCTGGAAAACCTCCATCGCTGCGACGTTCACCCCGGCGGAGTCCGTCACGAACGCTGTGATCTCGCTCAAGTCCACGTCCATGGGCTTCACCCTCTTCAGCCACGCGGTCGCAAGGGCAGTGGCGTCTTTCTTCCTGTGCATGACGTCGGTGGCCACGTAAGCTGCCCCCAAATTTATCCCGACAAGGTAGTTGCACAATGTTTGACCCCTAATGTTGGTTCAACCGTCGGTCATGATTGTGCAACCATGACCGAAATGAGATGGGAGGGGATTTCCAGGATTTCGATTTTTTGAATATTCGGATTGCTCCTAATTAGTGCGGCCAGGGCCTCCATAACGATGACGAAGAGCAGAGGGGCAATCGGGTCCCCTTGTCTTACCGATCGTTGGAGGGGAAAAGGAGGTGACAGATGACCGTTGAGCATGATGTTTGTGGCCGCTGTTCTGTGTAGTATGCTCACCCACTGGCAAAAAACATCTCTGAAGTTCATTTGCCTTAGGCACAGGTCCAGGAAATCCCAATCCACGTGGTCAAAGGCCTTTTCGAAGTCAATCAACAACACCGCTGCGTCCACATTACGTTGTCGCGCGTACCTGATGGTTTCGTTGACTAATAGGATGTTGTCTTGAATGTTCCTATTGGGCATACAGCCAAATTGGTCCGAGTGGATGATGGTGTGCATGAACGGTAGCAGGCTGTTTGTGAGCGCTTTGGCCACCATTTTATAGGGTAGGGGCAGCAGCGTGATTGGGCGGTAATTTCTGATGTTTGTTTTGTCCTCTTTTTTGTATAGCAAGTTGTGACCCCCTGACCCATTAGCCCTCCGAAAGTGTTCTGTTGCAGGACCGCTTGAATATACAGCATAAGGTCGTCTTTGAGGTCTGACCAGAAGAAGACTCAAAACTCCTTGGGGAAGGAGTCGAGGCCTGGAGTTTTTTCGTCTTCCATCTCGTTCAGTGCCTCCCAAACTTCCTCCTCCCTCAAGGGTGTTTCCAGTGCTGCTTTTTGCACTTGTGTGAGACGCGAGGTAATGGACTGGGCAAGGGTTGTTCTGGCTGCTCCCAGCGTGTGTTCTGACCACTGGTGGGCTTGCGAAGTGAACAATTTTTGATAATAGTCAGCAGCGTACTCCACGATTGTATATGCGTTTGTTGCGTCTAGCATATTATGCAAAAAAGGGTGCCTCAGTGCCGGAACAGTATTTTGCCTTGCCCTGGCTTTAGCCTTTGCGAAAAAGGTTTTTGCCATTGTACCCTTCGTCCGATCCTTTCTGATCTTCGTCTGGATTCGCCAGGCTTGGGCTTGAAGGTCCATGTGTTCCTGTAACACTTCCCTAGCAGCCTGAAGTCTGTTGTATATTTGGGTGTCTATGGGGTTCTGGAAGAGTTGTTTGTCCCATACTTCGAGGTCAAGCATTAGTCTTTCGAGGACAACCTTCCTTTCCCTGGCATTATGCGATGCAATCTTGAAGTACTAATTAGTTTGATGAAAGAGGCCGGTGATTTCCACAAGGCTTCATTTGTGGCGTATTTACGACCAATTATACTCAGGGTGACTAAGGAAGCTTACGGTTGGAGCATGAATGCGAAGTTTGTGGTAAGTTTGAAGTTTGACGACATAATTAGATTGGTTGAGGCTAAAAAATCAGTGAATGATAAGACTGAGGAGTTGGATATTCCTAGTTGTGTGAAGGATGTTGCGCGTGGTATGGTTTGGATTGTTTAAGAACCCGTCGATTGCCGACATGATAAAAAATCGCTAAAGTTGATGTGTTGACATGCACATGTGCAGGATTGCCCTACGGTAACCTTAAAGTAGTTGACCATATGCAAGTCTGATTGCAGGATTTGGAGGAGTCAATCCCTTGATCTGCAACACTAATAACGTTCCTAAGTTGAGCCATCCGGATAGAGAAAGTTTGCTGGCACGTGAGATTTTGTCAGGTTTTTGTTCCTGGACTAATTCCAGAGGTTATGAGAGGAGTATCAGAGATCTGAAGTAACCCGGTGTATGGTAGGAGGTTATTGAAGTGGTGAGAGATACCTTCATCCTAAGGATGTGGAGAGGCTGAAGGCATTATTGGACAGCCTAGTGTTGACACCGCTGGACCGTAATCCTGGTGTTGTGTCCTAAACTGTATTTTGAAGCGATGATGGGCATGTTCGTTACCTCAGCTGGTTATGCTATCGTCTCAGAGCCAGAGGATGCTATTCATCCGAAGATGAGAACGAACACAAGGAATCTGGGGCTGCAATTTTCGTAAGGTGATATTCAAAGGATTAGATTCGAGAAGCATAGTTGATGTCAACTTGAGAGCACAAGGACTTGCCACGATTTAGACCAATTTGCTCAATATTTTCCGAGCCCAGTGTTTGGACATGCCGACCAGCTGCGAAAACCCTCAACCATCTTTTAGCCAAAATCATAGTGGACTGACATTTTAACCTCGAGTCGGTCATGACGTTGGCACCAAGATTGGAGCGATGCAATAAGAGGATTGGTTGATTGATGAGTGGAGATGCGGAACTCCTGACCATGTCGTACGACACTAAGGACATGTTCAACAAATTACCACATGCAGAGATTGTTAATGTAGTTGACGGGGTGGACGATTATCACATGGAGAAAGACAGACACCTGATTCTGGTTAACACAAGAGATAAGGGGTGAACTTCCGGGGAGACGGGTAACAAAGATCACTGGAGAACGATGGATTTGGAACATATTAAAAAATTCATGAAGTGGGAACTGGAACACACCTACACACGGGTCATGGGTGTGTTATTGCGCCAAGTAGTGGGCATCACTATGGAGAAATGTACAATCCCACCACTGGCATGCATGTTGTGTGCATTTGCCGAATTCCAATTCCTGCAGAACTTGGGATGCTAGCGTCACTCATGGATGATGTTAATCTGGCTATTTTGAGGTGAGGGAAAAGACCAGCACCAGCGGAGCAGATTCATAGTAGATTTGAGGTGTGCTACACGAAAAATTTGTCTTTGAAATGGACTCGTGACAGGAATGGCACGTACGATTTTTTAGGGACCAAGATGAGTATGGAGTATGTGTACCCGTACCTGCGATGTGTCCAGTCTTCAAAAAATGAGTTGTTATTGTTGACAGAGGAACGCTTGGAGTACAAAAATTGTTAGAATCACCACTCATTGGCAAGTAAAGAACAGAATGGCGTTGTTGTGGGCAGTTGTCTGCACATAATCGATAAGAATACAAATGTGCAATTGACTATACTCATGAGTGTTTTAAGTTTGCAACGGGAGCTGCGTTTTAAGGATTTTTCAAGGAACTTTATGAAATGAGTGTTGAAGTGTTTTGCGAAGGGTAGGGACCAAATCTGGGCATGGACATACCATTGGCTATTTGGGGATGATTCGTTGTAAGTGGAAGTTTTTGTATCGTATGTAGTGTGTTAATGTTGCATTTTTACGACGACTGCTATTGAATGTTAGTATACGTTAGAATTTTGTTCGCTTTGCACGATTTTTTAGAGATGTGTGGACAAAGGTAAGACTTTTTGATTGATTTGGCGACTGCGGCTATTGGATGTGAGTTTACATTAAAATTTGTTTGTCTCATATGATTTTGAGATGTGTCGATAGGGGTAGGTCTTTCCTTTGATTTGACTTTCTTTTGTCGCTTGTCTGCCATTTGTTGGATTGAGGTGGAGTTTTTAGTTTTGACAGTTTTAGTTTTGGTAGTTTTTTATTTTTTTTTAATTAAAAAAAAGGTATCAAACCTTAGGATTATTTCTGGACCGCAAGGAAGTGAGTATCGGTCTAACAGGTACCGATTTGTACCTTGGTCTCTGATCTGATCCGAAGGACTCATAATACCGAACGTTTTTGGGACCTAAGAATTGAGTCTGCACTCAAGAGTAATGACATTGTGAGTGTCCCTGTTATTTGTAGGAACATTTTTCACAATAGGGTTAATACGGTTGACGTCCTATTAAAGTAATGATTGACGCGCTTATCGGTCCTTTCGGGTCCAACGCGAAGGGAAACCCACATAATTTCCGGAGATGATTACAGAGATTTCCTGCGGAGGTGGGTGAGAGGAAGTCAAAGTTTTCGTCTTGGGAGAAGCTAGATGGATTCCCCCTGAGGAGGACAGCGTGGCGGCTGTCGAAACCGGTCGGGGTGCCATACCCGCCGGCGTGTTTGCTTACTTTGTACTTTGTTTTCTTGTGCATGTAAGTGTACCCTTGTGCATGTACGTGTACTTGGGGAGTCACTACCTTTGATATTGTATTTTCATAATATTCATTTATCAACATCAATCAACCACTGGAGCAAAACCGTTTTCATTCGTGCATCTTTTTTTTGTTTTGTTTTTTTTATGCATCTTTCCAGCCGATGACGCTGGATGTTTTGATAGGAAAAAAACAAAACAAAAAGGCGGGACGTCAGAGGCAGCAGTGAGCCTCGTTCGCATATGTGCAAAATGAGGATGAATATTATCCTCGATACTAGGAAGATACACAAGATTGTGAGTAGTGGAGCGAGGCCTTACGTCGAAATGGAAGAAAAAACAAAAAAAACAAAAAAATAAAAAACAGTAAGACTTCAGACCCCTCTAATGGTCGTAGCAGTTTGCAACTACTGGTAAGTTGGAGGCCTCTTCCAAAATTCACCCTTCTTGTCCTCCGAAATTTTAAAAGGTCGGGGTCGTGGTGGTGTTAGCCACCAATACCTTTCGCTGCCAAAAATCTCTGACAAGCCGGGTAACACGGGAAGGTCGGGGCTCTCGCTTGATAAACACACGGTCACTTTGGCTAAAAACAACAAACAAAGAAAAAAAAAAAAAACGAATGAAATTTGGATTAAAAAAACAGACAAACAAAAAGGTGTAGGATTCCTTGTGACAAATAGATAGATAAATAAATAAATAGATGGATAGATAGATAGATAGATAGATAGATAGAGATAGATAGATAGATAGATAGATAGATAGATAGATAGATAGATAGATAGAGAGAGAGAGAGAGAGAGAGAGAGAGAGAGAGAGAGAGAGAGAGAGAGAG